TCCGATTAAAATTGCCTAATAATCCCGCCCCCCTAACACAATCTGAATTAGAGAATAAGCCTAAAATGTATAAAGCAAAAATACACCGACCTTTGGCTATGTTATAAAGGAACAGGCTCTACCGTTTGAATGAAATTAAAGACGGCACACATACAAGGATGTCAACGTGACCAATTCAAGCGACCGCTATTCAAGCTTTCAAAAAAGCCAGGGGAACGCTATGTTCAACATCTGATAGATGCCTTGCAAGATCGGTTCCCCGAGGATTGCATGGATCTACTTCACTGCCTCGATGCCCTTCTGAATCCCTCTAGATATCCGCAGACACGTAGTGGTAAGTAGGATCTGTTGATTTATTATACGGGTCATTCTACAGAAACGTCCTCTTTTAGTATGGCAAGATGTCTTTATTTATTTATTTATTTTTCTAACATTTAAACTTGCACAACATTATTAGATTATTAAAAATTTAAAATAGAAATAAAAATGTCTATTTTTGTACATTTATTTAAAGACGGCATGTACCCGTTTTTTCCGCACTATAAGGCGCACTTAAAAGCCTTCAATTTTCTCAAAAAACGACAGTGCACTCGCGCTCGTGTCCATCTTATGCCCGCTCTGCACGGCCAGTTCAACCTCATATAATCAATAATCAAATCACTGTTCCCGGTTGTCACAGAATGTTCATAAAGCGCTGCCCGTTCAGCGCTCAACGCAGTTTGCTTCGCACTCCTCTCAAATCGCCCCCGCTCGCTCCAAAAAAATAAAAAATCTACATGTATTTTTATTTCACTTTGGGGTTAGACCACAGCCTTACCTTACAAACAACTAAAGACCAACAACAACATTTTCCAAACAGAAATGTTTCATTTCAAATTACAAATTTGGACAAGCAAGAACAGGAATAGCATACACAAAAAGTCCTGTAAAATTAAACGAATAAATGGGCCTAATAATATGAACAAAAATTATATAAACAAAAACATACATAAAAGTTTTAAAAGTAAATTAACTATAGGCCAGAATTTTGATAACTGAACTTTTTGCCCAACGTACACGATAAAAATGTAAATGGGCTTATAACCATTGTACACACAAACTGCTGTAAAATTGAACGAATAAATGGGCCTAATAATATAACTAAAATAAAAATATGAACAAAAATGTAATATATATATATATATATATATATATAGGCCTACATTTATGTTTAAAAGTAGGCTAATTAATTATTAGGCCAGATTTTGATAAGCCTAACTGATTTTTGCGCAGCGCGCACTAAATTTAAATTGGCTTAGGCCTATATCATCTGTACACACACAAAAAAAAAAAAAAAACTGTAAAATTAAATGAATCAATGGGCCTAATTATATAAATAAAAATCCTCTACATCAACATCAACGTGTTAAATTAAATACATTTTGGTAAATTAACTATTAGGCCACCAGACGCCTATATCTAACTGGACTTTTGCGCAGAGAGCACGTGGATGACAATTTAAATTGTCTCAAACTTAAAAAAAAGAAAAAAAAGAATTGCTTTCCTTATCTAGCCTACAGTTCTTGTGAGTTCACCTTCAAGAACACGAGTTTGGACAATGTCTGAGGCTTCAGACACATGCGGTGGTTTCTTGAAAGCAGGCCAGCAGCGGAGAAAACCCTCTCTGCGCTCGCAGACTCGCTTGGGGATGCTGAATACAATGCAAGCAACTTTAGTCAGGCGGGTAAAAGACGTGGAGTTTTCTCTTGGTGTGAGCAAAGCGGGAAATAGGGCGTTCATGTTTTCCGTCTATTTAAAAGTTATGCTAATAAACATGTTGCATTCTATACGGTGTAATGGCAAGTTTTAGAGGTTAATGAAAACAGCATCAAAGGTATAAGAAACTTTCCGAACAGGCAAACTGTAATAAAGAGAAAAGGTTTATTCTTGTGAGGAGGCCTCTTTTCAGAGCCGCAGCTACCCAGCTCGGAAAACCAGAAGACCTGTTTGATTTCCACAAACATGACATTTTATACAGTAAAACTCCTCCTTCCTAGTTTCTGTAACTTTCCACATCTGTTGTCTCAAAAGGTGACCATGCCCCTCCTTGCCACCCCAGGGCTCTATAATTAACATAAGAAACAGGGCCATTTGTTCTACCACTCTGTGTGTGAGTGTGTGTGTGTGTGTGTGTGTGTGTGTGTGTGTGTGTGTGTGTGTTGTGTGTGTGTGTGTGATTCCAGCAGAGAGACACACATCAGCTGAGTATTTCATTAATTTCAGCTTTATTCACACCTGAGGTCTGACGACACCAGATACGAGACCGAGAGCAGAACACACACTTTACTCCAGTCAACATCTGCTTATTGCACGGGGAAAACAGTTCTTTCTTTTTTTTAAATGTTATTTAATGTCTTGTTTAAAGACAATATGTATATTGTTTTTAAGTAAACCAAATAACAGTTTTAAACTTGTAGAATTTATAAACGTTTTTGGTAACACTTTATAATAACTACACACTAATAATCATTAGTTAAGCATGAGTAAACAGATAATTCATCATTCATAAAGCATTAATAGACATTAATTAGCAGTTTATAAATACTGCTATAAATGCTTTCTTCTTGATTCAAAAGCATATCTATAATTTGTTTAATAATTGCATTTTCATCCTTTATTAATGATCAGGTAATCATTTCTAAATGAAGAATTGCATTTTTTATAAACCAGTTATTTAAGAGTTGTCAGTGGTTCATAAGATTACTTAGAGCGTGTAAGTAAATCATTAATAAACTATTTAAAATGTACATTGATACATCTTATTATTCAGACATATGGTTGCTTAGTGTGTTAATAAATGGTTTATTAACATGTATTTATGCTGTAATTCAGGGTTAATTCGGGTAGTTATAAAGCATTTAGTAGTGGTCAGTTAACTATGTTCGTGAGCTCATCTAAAGTGAGGACTATTCATGCCTTGTAATGCATTTATAAAAGAGATTTAAAGGCTGTTAAATATTTCTATGTTCTGTATCACTGCGTTGTGTTTGTTACATTTTACTGTTTAGAAGATTGATGCGCCTTAAAATCTCCTTTATAAATGCTTTACAAGGCATGAATAGTCCTCACTTTAGATTAGCTCACACACATAGTTAACTAACCACTACTAAATGCTTTATAACTACCTGTATTTACTACATTTACTTAGACTTTCTAAGTGATCTTATGAATGACTGACAACTCTGAAATAACTGGTTTGTAAATAATGCTATACTTCATTTAGAAATTATTAATTGATCATTAACTAAGTATGATAATACCATTATTAAATGTATAGATATGCTTATAAATCAAGAAGAAAGCATTTATAGCTGTATTTATAAACTGCTTATTAATGTCTATTAATGCTTAACAAATGATGAATTAACTGTTTACTCATGCTTAACAAATGATTTGTGCAGTTATAATAAAGTGTTACCAAGTTTGGTTAAACATGAAACAAACACAAATACTGCATACATTTCTAAAAACTTGATACATGTTTTGTTCTAGTACAGTTTTTTTTTTTGGTAACACTATTTTACAGGATCATTGTTACATATCACATATATGTACTGTAGTAATAACTATAAATGAACCTTAACCCTATAATAAGTACATAATAATATTATTTATGAATATTACGGTTTTTAAAAATATAATTACACTTTTTTTTAACTTTGATGATTTGTCACAGACTCGTTTACTTTCCTGTTCAAAAGTTTTTCTATCAAACTCTCTTTTGATGAAGATTCATAAAGTGATTCAGTCAAAACTGGACATTAAAAAGCAAACGTGTAAAAACAGTGAAACTCAGGGTGACGAACGTTTATCATGAATGAAAATAACAGTCAAACATCAACAACTGAAGAAACATGTTCACACTGAACCAGGACTTAAAACTGTAATAAAACGTGAATTAACAGTGAAATACTGAAGGTGACAGTAGATTCATATTCACTTTACAGTTATCTCTATGATTATATAGATGTGTTATTCATTTTCACATTATTGAATATAATAATCCTTTGAGATCCAGCAGTTTTAATCAGATCTTCTGAAGGATTTTTAAAGGTACTGTAGGTAGGAAATTTATAAAAAACTTTTTTTCCAAATTTGTTTAAACTTTCTGTTGTAAGTACTCTGAAAAATAAAAGTATAAAAATATAGTGTCTTTAGACCTCTCACGACTGTTTTAAAGACAGCTCATTATTTCCATTCACTTCACCCCCTCCCTTCTGGGCCCCTTCCAAAACCACGCCCCCAAAACACATGAACACGCGACTCCGACCGCTGAGCTGAAGACCCGTTATTTACCTGAGACGAGCGGAGAGGAAGGAGCGCAGTGCATGAAGTGACATCATGTCAGAATCACATGTAATAAAAAAAATCTAACTTTATCATTATGAAGATGTATTTTAGTACTCACTATATCAAGCTAGCATATTGATATTGTTAAAGTATAAAATATATATTTATTGATTCGCTAACAAGCAAGTTATCTATAAGGCAAAGCTAAAAACACGTTGCATGATACACATTTTTCCATCGCCATCATTTACACTGTGATGAAGATGAATTTTGTGTAAGATTCATAACGTATATGGTGTTCTGCATGTAAGAGTTTCCATGATGAAAGCATTGCTGACTCTGACTATCAACACGCATAATAGTTTTTCAGAGTGTTTATGAACGCCGTTGACTTAACGTTATCACTGTATACATAAATATATGACCTACCTCAACCCCGTCCCTAAACCTACCCGTCACTGTGGTTAATAGCATTTATGAGTCTTCCCCTACCATCCTAGGAAAAAATATCGCTCCCCAGATGTAGATCTACATTTTGCTTCGTTTTGCATTTAACGGGATGAACATACACGCAGAATCACTCGGACATTAATGGTGTAGAAATACACACATACACGCGGATAGCTCAAAATGCATATAGATAACACGCCACTTGACTTGAAAGTGGCGTGTATGTTTACGCAAAAGTCATGATGTCATGTTACCGCATCATCAGCTCGAGGACAGATCCGGAGTCGAGGGCGAAGCAGAGGAGGCCGTGCAACTAGGGTCAGAGAAAGTAGAGGCTGTGTGTGTATGTCAGTCAGAGTGTGTTTGTTGTGTAATGTCACAGAGAGACTGAAGAGTCTGAATAAGGAACTGTAAATCTAGCGCAGAGGGGTTCAGTGAATGTCGTGAATGTGGTGTTGTCTGTGTGTGTGTGTGTCAGTCAGTGCGTGTGTTTAATGGAACACAGAGACACTGAAGAGTTACAATTATTAAGTCTAAATCCAGCATAAAGTGGTTCAGTGAATGTGTGTGTGAATGTGTGTAAGTGTGTGAGTGTATGTGTGTCAGAGACGCTGTAGAAGGACAGAGTGCCGGCCGACTCGTCCACAAACACTCCTACCCTCTTACAGGATCCTGAATCAGCAGAAACAGCAGTGAAGTTATTATTGTGACGGACAGTGAGTCTCTGATCAGAGCGGCTCAGACTCCAGGACTTCTTATTACAGCCAAACACACAGTCACTCTCTCCTTTCCTCTGGATTCCTTTATATGACACTGATATATCAGTATTATCTCCACTCCATTCAGCCTCCCAGTAACAGCGTCCAGTCAGACTCTCTCCACACAGAACCTGATGATACCAATCAAATCTGTCTGGATGATCAGGATACGACTGACTATCTCTCACAAGCTTCACCTTTCTGTTCTCCTCAGACAGAACGAGATGAGTGTGTGCTGTGTTAGGATCCAGTGTGATATTAACAGCGTCTGAACACAAGAACACACATTACATACAACAGCAACATTTACAACAACACACACTAAAACTGCGTTTGAGGACTTACATCTGTGTAGCCTTGATGTAATCCTGAACTCTCCTCCATGATCCACACTAGAACACACACACACACACACACACACACACATGAATCTTACAACACTTCAGATATAAAAGAAACTTATAAAATGTATAATTACGACACACGTCAAGCTTTTTTATATTTTTTACACAGGAGAAATACATTCAACACGGAAGCTCAAGCGGTTGCCATGGGTATGAATGACACCTGTGGTTGCCATGGTAACGAACACCACATGCTTGTAAAGTTATTGATCATATACTGTATTTGAGATTAATTCAGTAAATATTGAGAACGCAACAGAATATTATGTTTCTCTAGTGACGGCGTCTTAGTCTCCACTGGCCTTCAGTCAAATAATAATCCACTTGTCAATCATCCAATCAAACAGTGTTAATCACTACATTATTACAGAACAGCAGTGCAGTAACAGCAGTGGTGGCAGAAAAAAGTAAGTAATAATGCTTATTATCCTTTTACTACATCTATCACCATACAACGTCTCGGTTGTGTATGTAACTCTCGTTTCCTGAGTAGAGAATATATATATATGTGACCCAGAAGGATGCATACGGAGAACACTGAGGTGTCCAGCCGCAGGTGGAATATTTCAACCCCAGGGGTGGCATGGTGGCTTGCCGAAGGAAAGACACCTGAATGGGTCCGGTACTAACTGGTTGAAGAGAGTACATGAGAGGACACAGGCTTCACTGGGAGATTGTAGAATCAGGCAAATGTGTTGAGTGTTGCCTAGCCAGCAGCTCTGCAGATGTCTGTTAGTGAGGCGCCATGCACTAGAGCCCAAGAGGATGCCACACTCCACACTCCGACACGCTGGAGTGGGCAGTCACACCTAGGAGGCAAGGTCGACCTTGCTGCTGGTATGCCAAAGCACTGGCGTCCACTATCCAGTGGCCTTTGTTTGGAGAGAGCCTTTCCCTTCAGCTTCCCACCATAACAGACAAAGAGCTGGTCTGATGTCCTGAAACACTGTGTTCTGTCTACATAGGCGCGGAGGGAGCGTACTGGACAGAGCAGTACCAAGGCTGGGTCTGCCTCCTCCAGGGGCAGCACTTGCAGGTTTACCACGTGGACCCGGAAGGGATTGGTGGGAACCTTGGGCACATATCCAGGTCGGAGTATCAGAAACACGTGAGAGTAAGCCGGCCCGAATTCCAGGTACGCTCCATCAACGGAGAATGCATTGGAGGTCCCCTACCCTCTTGATGGAGGCCAGTGCAACTAGCAGAGCTGCCTTCATAGACAGGAATTGTGGGGACATGGTCATCATCCACGTCCTGACAGAGGAGGCCAGGGAAGGGCCAGCATTCCACTAGGGCCTGCTCTGCCAGGGGTCTGGCTACAGAGGGCGATGAGAGTGGTACGGTCCGGAGACAGCACACACTGTCATCCGACTGGGGGAAGGAGTGGTCCTCCTACCATCTCCTGCGAAGTAACAGTCATCCCTGAGCAGCCCATCGCTTTAGTGGGAGGTGGGGCTGGAAAGGGCTGAGGTGCCTTCTTGCAGCTTACTCCACGACCGGGCCCGTGTGAAGGCAGCTAGTTGGGCCGGGTGGGAGCCGCAGGAGGGCGCCCTCGGCGGCGAACAGACTGAGGCATCTGCCCGGCTGGCTGGGAGGAGGCAGCAGCGGGCTGACGGGGCAGAATATGTTGAGAACTGTTGGGCAATGTCCTCGACTTCACCGCCAAAAAAAGGCCGGCCCGGGACATGGTGATGTCGTGCAGCCGGGGCCGCTCGGCATCCCTCATGTCATGCAGATTCAGCCAGAGATGTCTCTCATAGACCACGGCTGTGGACATCATCAAACCCAGGGAGTGTATGGTCACCTTCGTCGCCCAGACAGCGAGGTCGGCGCGCAGCACATCAAAGAGCCCTGGGTCTGTCCTAACCTTGTGCATGTCTCTGAGCATCTGGGCCAGGTAGACCTGCAGCACTCTGCAGGTCTCCTGCCATTGCATGCAGAAAAGCAGCCGCCTGTCCCGCCGCTCTGTAAGACTTCACCACTAATGTAGACGAAAACCTACAGGTTTTTGGATGGGTGCTTAGGCTCGCCACTAGAAGAAGCACTCTGAGGACACAGTTGCATTGCAACAAAGCAATCAACCGGGGGAGCCTGTGTACCCACGGGCAGCTCCCCCATTGAGCGGAGGAAAGGCGAATGAGATCAACAAGCTGTCCCAGGATGACATGGGGTCTTCCAAGACTTCGAGATCTCATCATGCACTTCTGGGAAGAAAGGTATTGGAGTTGGCCACGGACGAGAGTCAGGAAAGCATGGCCGTCATCTCGGGATCAGAAAGCATGGGAAAGAATGGCCGTCATCTCTGGACTAAATTTAGAGGAAGTAGATCGGGATGTGGATGAGGGGACTCTCACTCTTGCGAGATCATGGAGTCTCGACTAGAGCCTGACATTTTTTTGGGAATCCTGCGGGATTCCCAACAAAATCACTATGTATCACGGGATTGGGACAGGAAAGAAAATAAATGTCAGTGGGAGAGGGCGGGACGGGGAATAGTTATAAAACTATGACACCCAACTTTATCCACAAATATACAGTTTGAAATAAATTATATTTGCCACATCACTTTATGCTCTCCTGTTTGCTTTGGTGTGGCTGGTAAAGTGTATGACGTGCTCCACACACCCGTACCGTACCAGTTGGTGGCTGTAATATAGCTGCCAACTCTCATGCATATTGGCCGTGAGACACCCGCATTTGATTGGTTTCACACGCTCATATGCCACACCCCCGATTTCTCACGCTGAAGTGTCAACCTGGCCGGTCAAATACCTGCAAGATGAGTTTTTCTATATATCTACCTATATATCTCCCTGTTGAGCCACTCGTGATCGAGTAGTTATGGCCACAGGCGTAATTTGCGGGTGGGACGGGTGGGACATGTCCCAACAACTTTTAGTCAGGGTCGATATTGTCCCCACCACTTTTGAAACATCTTGCGGCACGGATGTAAATTATACAAATAAATAAAACATCTCTAGTTAACTAGCAGAGCATTCATTTAGTTTGTTTGTTAAATAAGAGGCGATCTGGCGCTGAAATGTGTTGCTTTTGAAACCAAGTGATCAAAGTGCTCATTGCCGCTGTGATCAGTGGCGTGGATACAGTTCTCTTGTGGCTCGCGCTGTCGCACACAGTCTTCACACGGACGCGCGCTTTAAGCCGTTGTGGAGACTCTATATTCGTTCCGATTAAATCACAAAATAAAATACACACAAACATACAACTGATAAACATAATCGGTTTTAATCAGAGGAAAAAAAAATGATGCGAGTGCGGATTAGAACCCAGAACCTCTATCACGCTTGGTAAAAATTCTGCCACTGGACTATTGAAATGCTTGCGTGTCATCATCAGATCTCAGTATTTCCTCGTCACAAACACATATTACATCTCATTAAACGACAAATTAAACACAATGTATTATTTTAATCGACTGCTGGACATCGATATGTTATTGTACATAGCTGAACATCTGATTTATGATTTGTACTAGCGTCCCAACCCCCCCACAACCCATCCACTTTTTTTAAAGCAAAGTTACGTCACTGGTTATGCCGCAAAATAGTTAAATTCTCTCGGAATCTAGAGCGAGGGTGCACGCGAGACAGAGATTGTGCTTCAAACTGCCTAGCGCACGGACACGCACACAAGGCAGAAATGGAAAGCGAACGAGAGTGCGCGTGTCATCCAAATTGCCCAGTTTTACAGTTATTTTTCTGTAACTGACAGATTCCGTTAAAAAACAAAAAAAAACACAAAACGGGAATGGGAGGGAATATGAGTCATTCTTCCGAGATTGGGACCGGACATGATTTTTTTTGTGGGAATGGGACGGGAGAGGTTTGAAAATCCACTCCTGTGTCACCCTCTAGTCTCGACTGTAGTGACGCGATGTTATGTTCCCACAGAGAGAACATGAGTCATCCACGGGCGCTGCTCTAGCGTGATCAATGCCCAAAAACACTAGACAGTGCTCATGCTCATCAGAGTCGGACACGAGTCTACCTCATCTAGAAGTGCTTGGGCGAGGCATCTTTAAAAAAACGTGCCGTGTGCAAGCTCGTTTATGAGAGGAAACTCAGTGTTGAAGCGCCCAGGGAGAAAAACACTCACTGGCAAATCACTGCACAGATAAGCAGGAAGTGTGCACTCGCTGGGAGATCACCGTCACAACAACACCGGAGAATCTCGTCTGTAAAGCTGACAGTTCTGAGATGGCTTGTGGAATGAAGAGTAAACTTGGCTTCGAAGCGAAAACATATCTGCTTATTGCTGGCATCTTCCTTTTATACCCATGAGGTGGAGCGGAGTTCGGCCATGCAATTTCCGCAGACCCATGGCATTTCTTTGCCATTGGCTTGTTTTATATTACTCAAAGTTGATAGACTTTCTAAGCGAAACCCCATTCGTCATCATCCGACATAACTCGTAGTGACAACGAAAGGGAACTAAGGTTACTGTGGTAAAAGCATGGTAAGTGTTGTGTTTACAGTGCATTTACAACAAATGATGACACATTAAAACTGCCAATACTGTGGTAAAAGCATTGTAAGTTTAATAATTACTATACTTTACTACACGTTGTAAAGGACAGTAATAACAAAACATACCATGCTTGTAGTAAAGGACAGTAATCACAAAACTTTTTTTGTTATTTTTTGTTAAACTGAAACAAGGAATTTAGAGTATAATTGTGTGAAATGAACAAAGGTGGGTAATCCAGGGGCCAAAGAGAAAAAGTCCATATGTTTATTCCACCCATAAACTCCATACTCCAACCCATAAAAGTCATCCGATTTCACTAATTAGTTCTGTCTCCTGTCTGAATTAGCAAATCCAGGTGATTGGAACAAAATGCTGAGGAGGACTTTTACTTTATGAACCTGGACTTTACACCTCTGCATAGCAATGCCACATGTCAGCCAAGAGCAAAGAGCTTTAGATGAAATCCAATGAAGAGAAAAGAAATACAGACATTAAAACTGTGAAGATGACAGCAGAGGAGGAATAAACAACTCTATAAACAGCTTACCAGCTTCACTTATTACTAACCAGACTGACTTTATTTCTGTCAGGTTTATATTGACACACAGATATCAAAAATCAGCATATGAATCTCAACAATGGTGATAATCACAAATATTTAGATAAACAGATTAATTAAGATAAACAGATTAATTCAGAACGTCACTGAAAAGATACTAATTCACAACAAAAACAACAGCAAAAAAAGCAAATATTTAGAATCAAACAAAATGATTGGATAATTTAGCTGCATAATTTATTTATGTTGCAATGCATGCTGGGAGTTCCCTTTCGTATGGGAACTCCTACGTCTCGTCGGAGGAGTTTCCAGTGAATTGGGATGACGCTAGGGAGACCATTTGCCTTTCAGTGAATCAAAACGAGCCAATAAATATTGGCATGCAGGATTTGTATTCCGCGTCCCGCCTATCAATGCAGGTATAAAAGCGGAAGCAAACGCACATACAATTGCTTTTAGCTTCGGAGCCGAACTACGTGTCCTCTGAGTGATGAGCTTCAGGATTACATTTATCTTCACGCACAACGAGTCTGCTGTTTCTCTGAAGACTTCTCTGTGTTGGTGTGATGGCGCTTCAGTGATCTTCGCAATCTCCCGGTTTCCAGCTGTTGCTGCACTCGATCTGCCTTTTGCCCTGGGTCGGGTGATGTCCACTCTTGTGGTCCAGGCGCAACATCTCTGGCTTACCCTGTCGAATATGAAGGACTCGGACAAGAACAAGTTCCTTGCTTCTCCCATATCCCAGGGTGGCCTCTTTTTTGATGTGGTGGAGAACTTTGCCCAACAGTTGAACGCTCCAGAGAAAGATGGGCCTTCCCTGCTGCTTGCCCCCTGGTGGAGGCATGTAAGTCTTGCACCAGACACACAGGTACCCACCTTCGGCCGCAGCAATGCCTCCGTCGCTGCCCTTCAGCGGGTACGCCCGTGGTCCTAGTGGGCTCATTGGTTCAGTCTCTCGAAGCCTGGCTAGCGCTTCCAAGACCGTCCAGGTGGCTCATTCGCACCATCCGGTTGAGCTATGCAATTCCGTTTGACCGCCGGCCTCCCAGGTACAGGGGTGTCCTCTTCAACCAAGTGCGGAGTGGCGACACTCCTGTCCTGAGGAAAGAGATCGTTGCCTTGTTGCCGAAGGATGCGATCGAGCCGGTCCCTCTAGCCGAGATGAGGTCTGGGTTCTACAGCCCTTACTTTTGATTAAGTATTTATATACAATTGAGCTAATTTTAACCTGTCTGTAAAATATTGTCTACATATGCAATTAATTACAATGTATGAATGCAGATGCACTCAAGTCTCACATGCACACCAGGCAGGATGATTCTTACTGATCCACTTACTTGAGTTTGTCCAGTGTGCAGTCTGGATGCTTCATTATATCAGAGAGCAGCTTCAGTCCTGATTCTCCTGGGTGATTGTAGCTCAGATCCAGTTCTCTCAGGTGTGAATGGTTTGAACTCAGAGCTGAAGCCAGAGCAGCACAGCCTTCCTCTGTAACCAAACACTGAGATAATCTACAACGACAATAAGTATTAATGTTAGTATGATTACTTTTTTGAGAATATTTACTAAAATAAACACAGCTCACACAGCTCTTTAACCCATAAATTATCTTTACAAGGACCTCTGATTGATTGCAATTAGTGATGTTGAGATTACCCAATTTCAAAATTGACCATGATTACAATGGGCACATTATTCAACAGTAAGAATTTGGATGCTATGGTTAAAAAGGAAGGAACATTTTAAATGAGTCTTTCAGACTTGTGTGTGTCATACCATCTGTCTGGATACTCTTTGGGGCTGTTACTATTGAGTTCACTAGGTCAGTAATTCTCAACTCCAGTCCTTGGGACCTCTGCATATTGTGTATGTCTCCTTTATTTAACACACCTGATTCATGATTCAGATCCTCAGCTTGTTAGGATAGACTCTTTGAACTGAACTAAGTGTGTCAGATAAGAGAGACATGCAAAATGTGCAGAGCAGTGGCTCCCAAGGACTGGAGTTGAGAACCACTGCACTAAGTGATTGTCTACACTGTAAAACCGAATAAGTTCCCAGAACTCAAAAAATTTGAGGCAATCGATAGCCTCAAATTTTTTTAAGTTGATTAACTTAAAAGCCACAATTTTCCAGAACTTAAAAGGTTGGATTACCTGAAATTAAAGTGCTCATTTAGCTCAACTCAAATTTTTGCAGTTAATAAGACTTAAAGTTTTCTGATAAGGCAACTTAATTATTTTCAGTTATTATAACAAAGTTTTGAGTTTTCACAGAACTTAAAAGTACACAACCACACAATTAAGTACACAACCAAACAATTTTATGTTTACAAAACTAAATTTTATTGGTTTGTTTTAAGTGCACAATAGTCAAATATGTTGAGTTTGTTTACTTAGAGAAAAGATGATCTGAAGTTGTTGGTTATGTTTTGACAATAATTTTACTTGAACCACAAAATTTAGAGCCTAATCTCTGACTTATATTTATATTGTCGATTGCAGCATCACAGTGAGTCTACAGTATAAGACCCAGAATTGTCAATATATTCCAAAGGATTTCTTAAAACTTGTTCTGATAAAATAACCAAAAAAATTGTGTAGGTACAAACAGACATCAAGCATGAGTGTATGAATCTCAACAATGGTGACGAATTAAATATTTAATTAGGAAAAGGACCGTTCATAATTTATTCATACTGCAATGCATGATGGGAGCCATGAATGAGTTTTAATTGGTGGCACCCAGAATACACTGCAACATGGTTTATTATTATCACCATTGTTGAGATTCACAGGCTGAATCTTGATGTCTGTGTGACTTAATAAAAAAAAAATCTAAATCTTTTGAACAGAAATATGAATAATATTTAGGATTCTATAGAAAATGCTACAAATTGTATGCTGTAGAATCACCAGGCTGCAGTAATCAACAAGGTAAACTTAATTATCTCAATTATAGTCCTCTGTTGTAAGTCACTGGTTAAAAGCATCTGCTAAATGTAAATGATGCTTAATGATTCAAGTAAAAATGATGATTACGGCTTAACATAACTATCACCACCTGAACACCATTCTCTTTGTTCATGTGGCAGTTACAACTCAATTATAACAGCCAAACATAAACTAAAGTTAATAATTTAAGAGTCAAGAGCCCAACTAAAGCAAACACTGATCACCATAATGGTGACATACAATTAGATTTTCCTCCATTAGTGATTCTGCTTGTTAACATCAGGTGTCTTCAATAATGGTCAATCATCACACAATTAATAACATAATTATCGAATTAATTTTAACACTCTTCATTTAGTGTTCATTTAACACTCATATTTGAACACTTTAACTCTTTGATTGTGGAGTCAAATAAACTCCTAGGAGAGTTAATTTAACACTGGAGTTTTTGCTGTGTAGGATAACATTCTTGCTTTAACACGTCACATTACAAGAACGTTTTATAAAATGTATTCCGTCTTCTCAGGCTTCAATGATATCCTCAAAACGTTTTGCGAACATTGATTTGATAATGTTCCTCCTTTGTTATTATGGAACATTGTATAATCTTTTATCTCAACAACTTTCCCAAAACATCCTCAAAATGTTACAGTTAAAACTTTACATCTTAATTTACATTTAACCTTATAGAAACATTATTTGAAATGAGAAAACATCCTTAAAACATTATTTAACCCTCTGAGACCTAAGGGTATTTTTACAATAAATTTTCCGTCTGGTGTCATTTACTAAAAAAGCTTGTAAAATATCAACCCTTTGGTGCACAGACAATTGACACACCTCTTTTTTTTCAGGACAAATTGAACTTTCAGCATATTTGTGTTACATTGATGTCACCTGAATGTAAAATAAGTTATGGGACCATAAAGACAAATGAAAAAATAAATCGGAAATGGAATCACTCAATTATTTATTGAAATCACACACAAATAAATAAAAGCTAAGCAATTTTCCTCTGGAAAATAGTTTTTTCATGTCTTTGGAGTCCTGGAGCACAGGAATAAACATTATAACTTGTACAGAACAAAAACTATTGACATTTTTCCAAAAGAAGTCCAGGCGTTTAGGGCCTCATGAAATTTACTGGTGCCAAGCCTCAAAACAGTTCCTATCAGCAATCACACAGAGGGCCACATCACAGGTTTTGCATTTCTATTTTATTTATTCTTTTATTTATTATGTTCTTTTTATTCTTTTATAATACATTTATACTACTATAATACTTTTTTACAGTAAATAAATAAATGGCACTTCAGCTGGGTCTATCCTGGTAATCTAGTTCCTCATCTGTCAAAAAGCTCTGTTCTCCTGAAAATCCTTCATCCTGCAATGCACCAAAATAGACCAGCGCTTTATTTACGTCCATTTCGCTGTTTCTCTGTGAATCGCGCGTCTCCGTGAGTCTCTCTATCTCTCTACACTATATCAGCGCTTGGTTCATGCATAATGACGCACACCAATGTTTACAACGGATCAGCCTGTAATTGGTCAAAAACCATCACGTGAAAACATCACGTGATATCCAGGATGTCCGCTAGCATCGAGCTAGTGGCAAAAATGACCGAATATTTATGAATTATGGGCTTCAAGATTATCAAAGTTTGACATAAAGCGTTTGGATTTATTGCTGAAAACCTCTGAAAGGAAGCACAAGTTCCAGGCTGGATAGAAAACCTTCTGTAAAGGCTAGAAAGACCCGAAAGACACCCCCGTGATGGCTAGCTCGTTAGCTTTCTGCTGGAAAAAACGGTAAGAAAATCGATAAATCTGTCATCGAGTTATGTAAACATTTATCGGAGGTGACGTGTGGCATCGTCGACGACGCCGTCGGGCTCAGGGGGTTAAGCATTTCTTTAAAACCAAATAGGGAATGTTAGCCAATGTTCTGAGAACGTTCCCTGTAAGTGTATATAAGACATATTAAATCACACTTATAAGCTAACTAACATTTGAATTATAGCTGCTTAATGTGTCACAATGGCATTAACTTGATCACATAAGACGATTCTGAATATGTGATGCGATCTGGGAAAACCCGTCGGATGTCGCTCTGGTACGTTTTCAGTAAGGTCTAAATATAGATTGAATGTCAGTTTTTTGTAAAAATTGGGTTTTTATTAAATTATTATTCTATAACATCTTTTTTATCATCTCTGAATATATCTTGGGAAAATTCACTAGTTTAGTGCAGAAAAATAGCGATTTATAATGGCCAGGTGAAAAGACTGTTTCTCTTTAAGAACACGCAGGTCGGAGCGGAGGGGCAAAACACAATATCTCCCGTTTAGCTCTCCTTCTCTTAACACTACAAAGACATTTCACCTATCAAAATAAACAACATAACAGAATAAAGTCCAGTCCTGGGTGAACTACAACGGCACACAATTTATTTATTTTTATCTAGCGTTATCGTGTGGTGTGATACGGAGCACAAGAGAACAACAGAGTTTGAAGCTGCTCGTTTAAAAGACCTTGCTCGCCTCTCAATCGTCCAATTTCAAAACAGTTTTCACAGGTTGAATTTTGAGTTTGTAAGTTTTCAAATGATACCTAATCTATGATGATTACAAACAATTTTAAAAAGTCAATAAAAGAGGGAGCGCCAGTCGTCCCACTAGCAGGACGTGACTAATAATTATACCTGTTTTTCTCAGAATTCCATTTCTGAAAATCATAGCGATCAGCCGACTTTAGATAACGTCTCGGTTACGTATGTAACCCTCGTTCCCTGAGTAGGGAACGGAGACGTTACGTCAGAAGTGACGGAGATTGGGGGTTTCGCATAGAAAGCCAATCCTCTTCGAGTATTTAAACACGAGCCAATGGCATGCAATGCCTTGGGGCTGCGGAAATTTGCATAGCGTACTCCGCCCTACTCCGTGAGTATAAAAGGAGGAAGTGAACGCAACCGCAGTATGTCTTCGCTGAGGAGCCAAGACTGAACTCGGCGTCTACCCAGCGATACAGCAGAAGTGGCAGGGAGACGTAACGTCTCCGTTCCCTACTCAGGGAACGAGGGTTACATACGTAACCGAGACGTTCCCTTTCGTAGTCACTTCGAGTTACGTCAGAAGTGACGGAGATTGGGGGTCTGTGCCATCACGCCATCTTCAAGCTGTCTTCCAGTGCCCTGCGAAAGTCTGGACCCCCGAGCCTTACCTCTTTTTTTTTTTTTTTTTGGGGATCCGACTTTGACACAGGATTACCAAGGTACACTGGGAAACATATCCCGGAAGGGACATGCTACCAGCTGCCTACCGAAGGGAGGACTTACGAATACACATATGGCCACATAGGAACACATATGGAACACTGGAGTACCAACCGCAGGTGGCTACTAATTTCAACTCCAGGGGTGGCAGATGGCTTGCCAAGGGAAGACACATGCTCAGAGAGGCTTACAGTGGATAATACACATGAGACGGTTACCAAGGGGAACCGTGCGCATGGAGGCACCTAGCCAGCATCCAGAGCAACAGCAGTGGTGCCCGCATCGT